CGAACCATTAGCACGGACGCAAACCATGTGCGGTTACCGAGCGAAACGACGTAGTTGAGTTGCACTTTCTCAGGCGGCGCGTCGGAAAATGCAACACAGAAAAATTGACGAAAAATGCCGGAGTGGCCTCTCTCAGGTTTCTCTCTGGCCTAAGCAATATCTTTGAATTGGTTGAACAGAATGGAAAATCCTTTTACACGATTAAAGTACGCACAAAGATGTAAAGGGCTGTACATCATTTTTTCTGATAAACTAAAAAAAATTTTATTTTTATAAATATTGTCCTAACCTAACGACAATGGCCTAGTTTACACCGATCACTTGATATGCGTATTAAATAGTAAATAACTAGTAAATAAATCTGATTATTGGCTGATCAGTTCAAATATACTATTTGATACGCGTATCAAGAGATCGATGTAAACTAGGCAAATATTTGCTTTATACAAAAATTCTGCAGTTTTTTTTTTTAGAAAATAGTGATACAGCCCTCTACAAAAAACTGTCAGGAATAATATCGTGCAATTAGAAGTAAGATTTGAAGCCTAAAAAAAAAGATATTACTTAGACCAGTGGAAGATGCAAGGTTAGGTGCTCTGTATGTATGTGTAAGAATCGGTGAGCACTTCTTTATCGATGCTGATCGAGTTTGCTTGCGCTCTGTATGTATATGTAAGAATCGGTGAGCACTTCTTTATCGACGCTGATCGAGTTCGGCTACGGCTCCAGCATCCCCTTAAATCCTTTGACCGATCTGGACTAACTTTAAAACCGGTTCCATTTTTTCCACGAACTACTCATTCATTAATGGACCGATTTTCTGGAAAACGGAAGAATTGAACTCATCGTCATTAAAAAATACTTGATTAATTATTATCATAGAAATACTTTGGAAACCGGTATCTATAAAAATCGGTAATAAAAAATTGATTTTGCGTCTAATGTTTTGCCAGGGATGTAGAGAGTAACTGTGCCAAAGTTGGTCCAGATCGATCAAAGGGTTTAAGAGTGTATAAAGAACAGACGTACAGACATTCCATTTTATACATATATATACAGAGACTAGAGATATTAGACATTATATAATGTTATATAAAAATAATTATTGTATTTATGAATGAGGAAATAACATTGCACATTACTTGTAGTATGTAAGATTGGCTCATGATACACGACCAGAACCGATCGTACAACTATTATGTCGGGAATGGAATTTAGGATTGCCCAAATTATTAATTACTGTCCATGGTGGTCGATCAAATTTCGAGCTTCAACCAAGTCTGAAAAAAGTTTTGCGTAAAGGCTTATTAAAAGCTGCTAAAACAACAGGAGCATGGATATTTACAGGGGGGACAAACACAGGTATATTCCTGTTCATGAAAAATAATAGTAACGTAACTTCAATAAAAAGAAATTAACTCTTTACATGTTAATTCTTGTAGGTGTAACACGACAGGTCGGAGACGCATTGTTGTTGGAACGCTCTCAACGACAAGGTCGTGTAGTAAGTATAGGTATTGCCCCTTGGGGAATTTTGGATAAAAGTCACGAATTAGTTGGCTGCGGTGGAGAAGTATCATACGATTGCGTCTCCTCACCATGGTAAGATTACATATTTACACGGTAAAGGTATTTTTGAAACATGAGATTTTGGTAAAGTATATTTTATGTACATATATATGGATTTGCAGGACTAAGTATACAGTGTTAAACAATCGTCACGCTTACTTTTTATTAGTAGACAATGGTACTGGCGGTCGGTATGGTGCAGAGATTGTTCTCCGTAGAAGATTAGAAAAATACATCTCAAATTTAAAATTGCAACCATGTAAGCGTTACACTGATCCACATGTACTAAAATTCTATAATTTAAGATGCTCTGATTCACCGATGCTTCCAGATACACACAGTAGCATACCGGTAGTCGCATTAGTTATCGAAGGTGGAACGAATACAATTCGCGCAGTTTTAGAGTACGTGACGGATGATCCACCTGTGCCTGTAGTAGTTTGTGATGGTTCGGGACGTGCAGCTGATCTGATCGCTTTTATGCACAAGTAATGGCTTGCACAATATTTACGCATATTTTAGAAAAATACATTATGCATGTTTACAAAGGCTGCGGTCCGATTTACGCTCACATGAGATGTGAGATTAAGCACAATAGTGCTTAAGCATTATTCTGTCTTCGTTGCACATTGAATATCAAACGAAGATAGAGCGATGCTTTCAGCGCTGTGAGCGTAAATCAGACCGCAGCCAAAGTATGCTTTTTATGTAGATGGAGAGACGGACAGACTGGTGACGGAGAAGGACCTTTGGAAGGTGTTAAGGAGCAAGTTTTGGAAACTATTAAACGCACCTTTCAAGTTTCCGCCGAGCAAGCGAGTCAGCTCTGTTCAGAACTCTTGCAGTGTACACGAAAAAAACATTTGGTACCTATCAATAGTTGATATTTTTATTAGAAATAAAATTTAACTTTGCATCGTAAATGTTAAACTGAAAATTTTCTAAGTAAGAGTTATATTCTTATAGATCACTGTGTTCAGAATATCGCAAGATAGATCGCAAGAGCTCGATCAAACGATATTGACAGCCCTGTTTAAATCGAAACAATTATCCCCGGCTGAGCAGTTGTCTCTTTCTTTAATATGGAACCGCGTGGACATCGCCCGAAGTGAAATCTTTGTCTACGGTCAAAAATGGCCACCTGGCGCTTTAGAACAAGCTATGATGGAAGCACTTCAGCACGACAGAATAGACTTTGTGAAACTTCTACTGGAAAATGGAGTATCCATGCGGAAGTTTTTATCGATACCTCGTCTTGAAGAGCTATATAATACGGTAGGTCATCTTTATTTTTATAGCAATAATTTTTCTTAGTAAACAATTTATATATGTATACAGCAAACAAGCTATATCGCTTGGTAAATAAACAATTTCATTTTTAGTTATAATAAATTTATTTTATGAAATTTATTTGTGTGTGTACGCGCACGCGCGTGGTCCTTTATAATACAAAGAGAGAGATTATAGAAATAATTTACTTGGAAAATTTAATTATTACAATTTACGTAGAATGTTGTAGTATGTTTCTTTTTTTTTCTCGAATTAATCAGAAAGAAGGCCCATCGAACACATTGGGCTACATCTTGCGCGATGTACGGCCGAATATTCCACGGGGTTACATGTATACGTTGCACGACATCGGCCTTGTGATTAACAAGCTAATGGGCGGTGCGTATCGCGCGCAATATACGCGGCGAAGATTTCGCATGATCTATACGAAGGTGATGAAGAGATCAGGTGGTCATCAGCAACATATGCATCGAAACAGCTGCGCTCCGAACTGCAATACGCGCTATTACACAGGCTCCGGCGGAAAGTCTGACAGTCTGACTATGAGTCTGCTCGCCGAGACGTTACCGGCTAATCGCGATACTCCTCTCTTCGATTATCCTTTTAATGAGCTGCTTATCTGGGCCGTGCTAACAAAACGCCAGCAAATGGCTTTGTTGATGTGGCAACACGGAGAAGAGGCGTTAGCAAAGGCTCTCGTCGCGCTAAAATTGTACAAGGCGATGGCGCATGAGGCGGCCGAGGACGATCTGGAAACGGAGGTTTACGACGAATTACGCGGTTACGGCAAGGAGTTTGAAAACATCGGTACGATAATACGACTTGACTCTTAGATACACAGTAAAAAATTATGTGTACATATGCGGTCCATATGTTAAAATTTTCTTGTGTCACCAAGATTTGATTATTATTTCAATGTAAAATTAACATACAACAGCTATGTTATTATTTTCTTAACATTTTTATGTGTTACATTTATGTCAATGTGATAACTTAATATATGCACTTTATATACACTTTATATATGTTATTTAGAAATTAAATATTATTTTGAGTTTTTTTAACACAATTACTTTAAAAAATCAACACGTCTTAAAGTTATTTTAACACATAAACAAAAGTTAAACGTAAATTTTCAAATAATTGCAAACTTTGACATACAAAATAATTAAATTTACTAAAATTAAATGTTTCTATTACACATAATTTAAGTAAAATCTGTAAAATAATTAATATCATGTGTTAACATAACTTTAAAATTAAGACTTTCTGGGCCATGTAAAAAATGTTAAAATTACGTTTTATTTTTTACTGTATAAAACCACTGTCGTACAACTAACTACAAATTGTACGTTTTTTATTATAGCGCTTGAATTATTGGACTACTGCTATCGACAAGACGATGATCAAACACAGCAACTATTAACTTCAGAACTTCAAAATTGGTCGGGACAGACATGCTTGTCACTCGCAGTTACAGCGAATCACCGGCCGCTATTGGCTCATCCTTGTAGTCAAATTATTTTGGCCGATTTATGGATGGGTGGCCTTCGAACACGTAAAAATACTAATTTAAAGGTAATAGATCAATCTATTGTAACTTGTTTAACTTTAGTTAACTAATCCTTAATACCTATACAGGATATTTCCTAAGTAAGTACAAAAAATTGAAGGGAATATTCCTTAGAATAAAATAGCTCTAAACGTTTTCCAGATTTTCGAAATTTTCTTTTTTTTTTCTCTGAACTTTGACGCCCTGTATTTTGAAAACGAAGCAGTTTAGGGCACATGTTTATAGGGCCTTTTCTTCTTAAAATAAGCCAAGGAATATCCCTTTCAAGTTCGTGTACTTACTTAGGAAACACCTTGTATATTTAACATTTATAACATATTAGGTTAGGGAAAAAGTAATCCATTATTTTTTCGTTTATTTCAAGGCTTTATTTAACATAGTTAGGATTGTTCGATTTGGGTCAATATGTACCGTTTTGTTCTACAATTTGTTGCCATTTCAAAGGTAATTTCATGATGCCTCTCTCATAGAAGCCCGGTCCCTACCTGTGCGAGATGCATTTTTAACATCGAAATTACCGGATCGGAATCGACGAAACCAAAATTGCGCGCGATTGGCTGTGACATTATTGGGACCATAAACACCATTCACAATTTCAGCCGCCTGGCTTGCATTTTCGCCTTTATTGAAGCAAAATTGTGAAAATACCGAATTTTCTCTTTGTTGACGTCTATCTTTTACGACCAATCACAAAAATGTTATAGGTTATCCTATACTAGAGATTCTCAAGTAAAGTTACTTGAGGATCTCTAACCTATGCGATTAATACATCACGTGAACGTGAGATATATCACTAAAGCCATCTAGCGAAAAAATAATGGATTACTTTTTCTCCAACCATATATTTAAATGTATTTTTAGGTGATTTTGGGGTTGTTTTGCCCTTTATATATAACGCGATTGGAATTCAAAAGCAGAGAAGAATTACAACTAATGCCCCAAACGCAGGAAGAGCATCTGATTGCTTTGGAAGATGAGAAGGAAGATAGCGATTCTGAACACAGTGTTCCAACAGGACCAGATGTCGAGGTAGTTATTTTGCATCTTAGAGAGAAATGACAGTATTTATGATAAATACTTGTTAAAGAGTTCTAGATATTCTTAGTTATGTGTCCTGATACGTAATATTTTCTATGAAAAAAATTGCAGTAATTGACTAAGATTACAATAAAATTATGTGAAAGTTATACTAATTATATAAAAAAGCTGTAAAACAATATAATTTGATATATCTACTGTATTGTTGATTGAGATTATGCAAATCCTAAATGTACCGGCAGAGAGACTCTCTGGTACCGGGTACAAGACATTAACAAATTTTTGTTTTGAAAGCTTGTGTAATTAACAAGTGTAAAATATATGGTTGCTTGCCTTAAGAGGAAAGTTTTTGTTCTAAAATTGTATATATATGAATATATACAACACATGTATAGTTTTTAAATTATATTTATTTAGACAGTCCAGTATTAATGCATATAGTCCCTCCTACATACATTATTTCATCCTTATGATTGAAACAATATAATCTTGCCTTTGGTTTTTTTCTTTTGCTTACTTTGTAATATTTGCGCCATTAATATGTTGAACCATAATTACTGGATTAAAGGATGTCTTTTTAATACATACAACTTTAAACATTAATTGCTCTTTCTCTTAAGGGTATATTGAGCTATTTGTAACATATAGACTATGTAGGTACGCGTATTAATTATTTTTTAGAAACGTCTGCGCAGGAGCCTGAGCATACGCAACAAATCCAGCAGCCAACAAGGCGTTAAGGTATATCTATATTGACCTGAACGCAGCGATCCTCTAACAATAATCACAATCTTTGGTGCACTTTGAAGCTACTGTTTATTTATCTGTTTTTAGTTCTTATCAGGGCACGTATTATGGAATTTTTCGGAATGGATTTTGATCGTAATTATTTCGTAGAAAACATAATAGAAATCTAGGAAATAACTAAACAATTAATATTCAAATGTCAAATAAGGAGTTCTGAGAGCCAACGCAAGATTTTAGTGCTTTCTCTTATCTCTATTTCTTCGTCTTAAACATTACAAATGTTTAGATCCTAACATTGGATCATCTTCAGTGTTACAGCAAGTCAGCATTCCCCGTTAATTTCCATCCATATTATTGTCAGTATTGATTTGATGTATTCCGTATTTCAACTCATGTCGTCTAGTGTCGCCATAATAATTTAAGATGTTTTTTGTATTATAACTCGTGTTACAACGTCGTCCAAAATTCATGAGTTGGTTGATACGATATTGATACGATCCGGAGGCACAATAATTGTGACAATAATGTGGAAATTAACGGGGAATGCTGACTTGCTGTAACACTGAAGATGCTCTAATATTAGGATCGAAATGTTTGTAATGTTTAAGACAAAGAAATAGAGATAAGAAAAAGCACTAAAATCTTGCGTTGGCTCTCAGAGAGCTTTTTATTTGACATTTGAATTTTAATCTTCTGAGCCATTATATATTCGGTTTGTTTTTAAACAATTAATTCCGATCGGAATCTATTCCAAAAAGTTCCATAATACATACCCAATCGTATTTCACAATCGCAGTAGTTGTTTCTCATGTACATCCAACATTACAATAGTGAAATGTATTTCTTGAAGACATTTTTTAGTTTATTATAATTATTATTGTAATGCATTACACATGATGAATTGATCAAACAGTTGATTAAACATATGAGTTAAACGTGTGAATTACCTTAATACTAAAAAAAACATTAATTTCTTTATAACTATTTATATATTTATTACAAATATAACTTTTACAACTCAGACATAATTATATATGCTTTACACAATTACATATATTTTATTTGTTAATATCTGAAATTTGTTAATATTTGTTTTTAAATAATTTAAAAATTTAGCACGATTTGAAAAATTTTAGAGTAATTCTTTATTACAACAATATGGTAGATATAATATCCTTGTTTAAGGGGTAACGCCACTCTATACAGAAAAATATAAACTACCTGCAAGTTAATATTACTTGATTCAAGT